GCTTTTCCTCTCTGCCCTATCGCCATTGTTTTTTTCCCCCTGTAATATTTCCCACTGGATTTTAGGCTTAAACAATCCATTGCCTTTTTCCCAGCACTCCTGCACTTTATCACACTGGCTTGCAAGTGGCAACTGTGTGATTAAAACAAGTTTGCCTGGGGCGCCTGGGTGGCTCAGCCGTTAAGCGTCTGCGGCTCAGGTCATGATCCCAGGGTCCTGGGATCGAGCCCTACATCGGGCTCCCTGCTCGGCGGGAAGTCTGCTTCTCCCTCTCCCACTCCCCCTGCTTGTGTTCCCTCTCTCACTGTGTCTCTCTCTGTCAAATAAATAAATAAAATCTTGAAAAAAAAAAAAAGTTTGCCTGAAATGAGCACTACCTGCCCATGGCTCCAGAGACTGGCACTGGCACAGCTAACGGCTGGAGAATACGAGACATCCCAGAGCAAAAATCTCCAGTTCCATCCTGCAGTCTGAGCTGTACAAGGAAATGAGACCATGGAAACAAAGTAGTCATCAGCTCAGACCAGAAATTAAGTTTCTCTGAAATACCAAGAACCCTGCAGGCGGCAGCCTGGGGAACCTCTGCACTAATCAAGGCTTCCCACCTGTTTTTATTTAGATGCCAGATTGTTGGGTGGCATTTGGTTAATGTATCATAGCACATCAACTAGGCAGTGTTTAGATGTCTTAATGAGTAACTTAAATTAAGTGGGCAGCCTGTACAGAGCAGCAAAGTTATTTTATCCTAAACAAAGGATAACCACCATTTCACCCCTAGGAACTCATTTCTTTTCTTTTTCTGGGGAAACTCGGTTTTAGGACATGAGCCTGCCCAGCAGGCTGCTATGGCCGTAGAAAGCAGTACAGCTGTGGCATTGTCCAAGGCACTCCGGAGTCCAGGGGATGTGGACATGTCTCGGGGGCCCTCTTAAAATCTCTCGTCTCGGCCCACCCCGGATACTGAGGAGAGGAGTTAGAGCTAAGAACTCCGTGAGCGCTGGTTTGGGTGGAAGACCGGGCGCCCTCAGTAAATGTTACCGTATCTCTTACTCCAGGGGAACTTGACAGGTTCCTCGTGAGAAAGGCCAACAAAATACTCTCTCACCTTGGCGGGCACCTGGCTTATTAAAATGTTTTGGATGCCGATAAATATATAAGCCTAAAAATCCAGGCTTCATTTAATTCCAGACAGAACTAGGATTAGCGATTCTTTACTAGAACAAAGAGTTAAAGAAAAGTAGTTTCAGTTTATGTTTTAATATAGCACTTACCCAGCAAAAAGCCTCAAGGATCAAACTCAAGTGAACCACAACCATAAAGTTAATGGATTTTCATCAGCTGAATTTTGTAAGTGTAGCAAGTAATTGTTTGCCCCGGCCCGTACTGCAGTTCTCTGGTAGCCTGTAGCGATCACCGTTTGTGACATGAATGGGGGGGAAAGGATATTGACTTTTACTTATATTGAAGAATCTTACTATTTGTATTGGATTAAGATTCAGAGAATACTTCTTACCTGTAAGTGTTTTCCATATACGGGTTTTTCTTAGATGTATTTTTGTATTCTTTGAGAATAAGCTACATTTAAGAGACCAGTAAAAGTTGGCATTTACGTAAATGTGAATTGAATGGCTGTGGAACAGTCCTTTTCTAGGGTTTTTAAAAAATTTTGTCAAAGGGCACGTTACAAACTTAAGGCAACTGTACTAAAACTGAGTGCAGAACAAATACATTTTCAGAAGTTAGATTTTTTTTTCTTTCTGGCTTGTTAGCACAATCTGCCTTCCCATATTCACTGTCCAGGTAGACATAGGATTACAGGTATTTATGCTTTCTCTGTAAAAGGATAAAAAATATTTTAGGCTTTGCAGGCTCTGTATTCTGTTGTAGTCACTTGTGAGAGTGGCCATAAATTAATGGGTGTGGTTATGTTCCAGTAACCCTTATTTACGGGCACTGAAATTTGGAATTCATATAATCTTCACAAGTCATGGAATATTATTCTTCCTTTGATTTTTTCCAACCACTAAAAATGTAACAAGTCGTATAAAAGCAGGCAGTGGTCTGCATTTGGCCCCATTTACAGGACTGAAGAGCAAATACCATGTCTGTACTTCCTGTTCAGTACTGGCAGGAAGCAGTCAGTCCTGGGGCAAGAAGAAAATGCTTCCCCTGGGGTTTAATCACCCTGGAAGCTGGCTCTCTATCTACCACGTTGCCTTCCTCACCGCTGTAAACATCCAGGAGGCCTAGTGAAGTTACTAAAGCTCTTGGTCTTCTCCCGTGGGGCCACAGCCCCAAAGGCAGCAGTCTTTTCTTGGGGATCTGAGGTCAGCTAGCACTGCCTGCCCAGCCTTGGGATAGAGTGGGCTTAGCACATCCACAGTACAACCGGACAGATGCCAGGAGGCTCCTCAGTTCATAATGCTGGTCCTAGGCCACAACATGCACCATTTAAATTGTATTCACAGAGCCGGAAGAGTTTGCCACCTCATCTTTAAAAAGCAAAAATTAAAAACACAAAACCTCAAACACTGCCTAACTTTGTCCATTTGATTTTTGAAAAAGGACAAAAGTTTTCTGTAACTCCTGATTTCCTATAACCTTCTTAGGAGCACATGCATCCACTCTCTCCCTGCATGGAGTGGCTGCAGGGTAGAGGAAGGAAACAAGGGCTGGGAGCCGGGGTTCTCGTAGGGCCACACCTCTACTGAATATTGCTGTGTCTCTCCTAGGCCATCCAGCTGAGCCGAGATGGGCAGTACCTGCTCACAGGAGGGGACAACGGTGTGGTCATGGTCTGGCAGGTGTCTGACCTCAAGCACCTCTTTGCCTATCCAGGCTGCGATGCTGGAATCCGGGCCATGGCCCTGTCTTACGACCAGAGGTAACACTGAAATCACGGTCTACTGATGGGGATAGTGAAAACTGGAGGGAATTTATTTAAATGGACTGATGGATAGACTGGGTTGTGGGGATCACCTGGGCAATCAAAAAAGCCAGTGAGAGGCACCTGGGTGGCTCAGTCATTAAGCGTCTGCCTTCGGCTCAGGTCATGATCCCGGGGTCCTGGGATCGAGCCCCATGTCCTCCATGCTCAGCGGGGAGTCTGCTTCTCCCTCTCCCTCTGCTGCTCCCCCTGCTTGTGCTCTCTCTCGTTCACTCTCTCTCAATAAATAAATCTTAAAAAAAAAAAGCCAGTGAATTTTTTTTTTTAAAGTGTCATTTTTCTTTTTGATGGCATTGCCACTCCTAGACAAAGGCTGAATTCTCCAGCAATAGACAGGATTTAAGTAACAAAAACTGTAATTACATTGCCATAAAGCTTTTTATATTTCTTAGAGTACTTTTTCCTTAAAATAAAAATTTAAGAGCTGTAAACATGTTTAATACAAAATGGCTGTATCTCTGTCCATGAGAATTCTATGGAGAGATTTGCCTTATTTCCTAAAACCTTCCAAGTGGTAAATTTTGGGGAGATAGTCTTCAGTATCTTATTTCTTCTTAACATACAGTCACAGATTTTAGTTCCTAATTTTTTTTTTAAATATTTTATTTGACAGAGAGAGACAGACCAAGAGAGGGAACAAAAGCAGGGGGAGCGGGAGAGGGAGGAGCAGGCTTCCCGCGGAGCAGGGAGCCTGATGTGGGGCTTGATCCCAGGACCCTGGGACCATGACCTGAGCCCAAGGCAGACGCGCATAACGACTGAGCCACCCAGGCGCCCCTAGTTCCTAACTTTTTTATTGTGTTAACATATACATAAAATTTACCATCACTTTTTTGGTGTACAATTCAGTGGCATTACGTACATTCACACTGTTGTACAACTATCATCACTGCCCATCTCTTTTTTTTTCATAAGTTTTCATCGTCCCAAAGAGAAGTTCTGTACCCATTAAACACTAACTTACCATTTTCCCTCCCAGAGCTCCATCCAGCTCACTTTAATTCCAGTGTCTGTCTCTATGAATTTGCGTCTTTTAGATACTTCGTATAAGTGGAAGCATAAAATATTTGTCCTATTGTAGCATGTGTCAAGCTCATTCCTTTTTAAGGCTGAATAGTACATGCCACTTTGTATAGCTACTCATCTGTTGACATTTTGGTTGTTTTCACCTTTTGGCTGTTGTGAATAAGGTTGCCATGAACGTTCATTCACGTACAAATATCTGTTCAGATTCCTGTTTTCTTTTATTTGAGGTAGACAACCAGGAGTGGAATGCTTGGTTTGGTGTAGTGATTGATGTAGTTTTGGTATAGTGTGTGTGTGATTTGTTGTTGTTGTTTTAAGATTTTTATTTATTTGACAGAGAGAGAGAGCACAAGTAGGCAGAGTGACAGGCAGAGGGAGAGGGAGAAGCAGTAATGGTAATTCTTTAACTTTTTGAGGAACTGCCAAACTGTTCTCCACAGTGTCTGCACCATTTTACATTCCCACCAGCAGAGCATAAGGCCTGCAATTTCTCCACATCTTCACCAACACCTGTTATGTCCTGGTTGTGGTTTATTTTTGTTTTTTAATAATATCCATCCTAATGGGTGTGAAATGGTCTCTTACTGTGGTTTTGATTTGCATTTCCCTAATGACTGGTGGTGTTGACGTTGCACTCTTAATAGTGTTCTCTGATGTGCGGAAGTTTTTAATTTTGATGAAGTCTTTTACTGTTGTTGTAAATGCTTCCAGCGTATCCAAGAAATCATTGCAAAATCCAATGTCATAAAGCTTTTCCCCTATGAGTTTTATAGTTGTAACGCTTATGTTTAGTTTTTGATCCATTTTGAATTCATGCCTGTATATGATAGTAGATAAGGGTCCAGTTTCATTCTTTTGCATGTGGATATTGGTTTTCCCAACACTATTTGTTGAAAAGACTGTCCTTTCCCCACTGAATGGTCTTGACACTTATCAAAAATCATTTGACCATATATGTGAGTTTATTTCTGGGTTCTCTATTCTGTTGATCCATATGCCAGTACCAAACTGTTTTGATTACTATAGCTTTGTGGAAAGTTTTGAAATCATGAAGTAAAATTAATTTTTTTTTTTTTCCAAGATTGTTTTTGGCTATTTGGGGTTCCTTGAGAATCCATTATGAATTTTATGATGGGTTTTTTCTATTTTTGCAAAAAAAGGGGGGGGATTTTGATAGGGATTGGGTTGAATCTGTTGATTACTTTGGCTAGTATTGTCATTTTAACAATATTAAATCTTCCAGTCTGTGAACCCAGATGTCTTTCCATTTATTTGCTTTTTTTAATCTCTTTCAGCAACATTTTATAGTTTGCAATATACAAGTCTTTGGCCTCCTTGGTTAAATTAGGCTTGAGTATTTTATTCATTTTGTTGCTATTGTAAATGGAATTGTTAATTTCCTTTTCAGATTTTTTTCATTGCACATGTACAGAAATGCAACTTAATTTTGTGTGGATTTTATATCGTGTAAAACTTTGTTGAATTCATTAACTCTAACAGGTTTTTTTGTGGAATCCTTAGGATTTCCTATATATAAGGTCATGTCAGTCTGTAATAGAAATTAATTTTACTTCAAACTTTCCAATTTGGATGTTTTTTGTCTTGCCTAATTGCTCTGGCTAGGACTCCCAGTACCATGTTGAACTGGTAAAAGTGTTTATTTTTGTCTTGTTTCTGATAATAGAAGAAAAGCTTTTAGTCTTTCACCACTGTGTATGATATTAGCTGTGGGTTTTTCAAAAATTCCCTTTATCATGTTTATGTACTTTCCTTCTATTCCTAGTTTGAGTGATATCATAAAAGCATGTTGAATTTTGTGAAATGCCTCTTGTTCATCAATTGAGGTGATTATGTAGGTTTTTGTTAGTTCTGCTAATGTGGTAGATTACGTTGATTTTTGTATGTTGAACCATTCTTGCATTCCAAGAATAAACCCATCTTGGGTCATGGTGTATAATCCTTTAATATACGGCTGAATTGGGTTTGCTAATATTTGTTGAAGATTTTTATAGCAATATTCATAAGGGATATTGGTCTGTAATTTTTGTTTCCTGTAGTGTCTCTGATTTTGGTGTCAGGGTAATGCTGGCCTCACTGAATGACTTAGGAAGTATTCTGTCGTCTTTAGTTTTTAGAAGAGTAAGAGCTGGTGTTAATCCGTCTTTTAAAATGTTTGATAGAATTCACCACTGAAGCCATCTAGTCCAGGGCTTTTCTTTATTGGGAGGCTTTTGATTATTGATTCAGTCTCGTTAGTAGTTATAAGATTCAGTCTTGTTAGTAGTTATAAGTCTATTCATATGTTCTATTTTTTCATGATTTAGTTTTGGTATAGTGTGTGTTTTTAAGAATTTTTCCATTTCAGGGCGCCTGGGTGGCTCAGTTGGTTAAGCGACTGCCTTCGGCTCAGGTCATGATCCTAGAGTCCCGGGATCGAGTCTCGCATCGGGCTCCCTGCTCGGCAGGGAGCCTGCTTCTCCCTCTGACCCTCCCCCCTCTCATGTGCTCTCTGTCTCTCTCATTCTGTCTCAAATAAATAAAATCTTTAAAAAAAAAAAAAATTTTTTTCCATTTCAGGGGCGCCTGGCTGGCTCAGTGAGTGCGGTGTGCAACTCTTCATCTCGGGGTTGTGAGTTCAGGCCCCACGTTGGGTGTAGAGATTACTTAAAATCTATTTATTTTTAAAGATTTTATTTGAGAGAGAGCATGAGCGGGGTGGGAGGGAGAGGGAGAAGCAGACTTCCCTCCCCAGTGAGCAGGGAGCCCGACATGGGGCTTGATCCCAGGACTCTGGGATCATGACCTGAGCCAAAAGCAGACGCTTAACCCACTGAGCCACCCAGGTGCCCCTAAAATCTTAAAAAAAAAAAAAAAAAATTCCATTTGATCTAATTGTTGGCATACAATTGTTCCTAGTATTCTTATAATCCTTTTTTATTTCTGTAAAATTGGTAGTAACATCTCTATGATTTTAGTAGTTTGAGTCCTCTCTTTTTTCTAAGTCAATCTAGCTAAAAGTTTGTCAATTTAATCTTTTCAAAGAACCAGCTCTTGGTTTTCTTGATTTTTCTCCCATTTTTTCTATCCTCTGTTTTATTTATCTCCACTCTCTAACCTTCATTATTTCCTTCCTCCTATGTTAGTTTTGAGTTTAGTTTGCTCTTTTTCTGGTTCAGGGTGTAGAATTAGGTTACTGATTGAGATATTTCTTTTTTAATGTATGTATTTACAGTTATAAATTTCCCTCAGCATTGCATTGTTTGGTTTATTGTGTTTTCATTTGTCTCCGTAATTTTCTAATTTCTGTTCAGATTTGATTCATTGCTTGCTTAATTTCTATATATTTGTGAATTTTCATTTTCCGTTATTGCTTTCTTGTTCTATCGTGATCAGAAAAGATACTTTGTATGATTTTTAAATTTGTTAAGACTAGTTTTATGGCCTAACATGGTTTATTCTGGAGAATACTCCATGCTCACTTAAGAAAAATGTCTGTTCTGCTGTTTTTGGGTGAGTGTTCAATATATGTGTTAGATCTACTTGTTTTGTTTTTTAATTAGATTTTTAATAAACATTTATTTGAGAGAGAAAGTGAGAGAGAGCACAAGGCAGGGGGAGAGGCAGACTCCCTGCTGAGCAAGGAGCCTGATACAGGGCTCGATCTAGAAACCCTGGCATGATGACCTGAGCCAAAAGCAGACGCTTAACCGACTGAGCCACCCAGGTGTCCCTAATTAGATCTTATTTTAAAGTAATCTCTATACCCAACATAGGGTTCAAACTCACAACCCTGAGACCAAGAGTTGCATGCTCTACTGACTGAGCCAGTCAGGCACCCCAGTCACTTGGTTTTTAGTATTCTTTAGATTCTCTATTTCCTTCTGGTTGTTCTACCCATTATTGAAAGTGGGGTACTGAAGTCTGCAACTATTATTGTAGAACTGTTTATTTTTCCCTTCCATTCTGTCACAGTTTGGGCTCCATATATCTTGGGGGCTCTGATATTTGGTACATTTGTTTGTACAGACTTCATCTTATTGTGCTTTGCGGATAGTTTTTACAAATTGAACTTTTGTGGCAAACCTGCATTGAGCAGGTCTGCCATTTTTCCAACAGCATTTGCTCGTGTGTCTGTCACATTTTGATAATTCTCACAATATTTCAAACTTTTTCATTCTATTTGTTATGGTGATCTGTGATTACAGATGTGATTACATCTTGCACAAAGCTCAGATGATGGTTAGCAGTTTTTAGCAATCAAATATTTTTTAATTAAGGTATGTACATTTTTTAGACATGCTACTGCACACTTAATAGACTATAGTGCAAATGTAAACATAACTTTTACATGCACTGGGAAACCAAAAATTCATTTGACTCACTTTATTGCAGTGGTCTAGAACCAACACCATATCTCCAAGATATGCCTGTAATTGCTATATCTTCTTGATAAATTGACCTTTTAATTGATAGTGTACTTCTTTGTCTCATAACAGATGACTTAAAGCCTACTTTGTCTGATCTTAGTATAGCCACTCCAGCTCTCTCATTACTATTTGCATGGAATGTCTTCTTCCGTCCTGTCACTTTCAACCTGTGTCTTTAGATCTAAAGCAACTCTCTTGTAGACAACATATAGTTTGATCATGTTTTTTATCCACTGTGCCAGTGTCTCTTGATTGGAGAGTTCAATGCCTTTACAGTTAATCACCAATAAGACTTACTTTTGCCATTTTACTATTTTGTTTTCTGTGTGTCTTAGAGCTTTTTTTGTCCCTCATTCCCTCATTACTGCCTTCTTTTGTGTTTGATTTTTTTGGTAGTGGCACATTTTAGTTCCTAATTTTGATATGAGGTAGTAGGAAGGATATTGCAAATGACTTCTAAGGACTGGTCCTACCAGACCATTCAGAGGAAGGTCTAAGATAATAAGCTCCTCTAAACTGCTGGTCCCACTGCTCTGCGGGTTTTCCCTGCGCCACCTTCAAAGGGACAGGGGGGCACGCAGTGGCAGCTCCTGTCTTTAGTGATCATTTCAGTGAGTTCACAGTCTTAGGACTAGGCCCCCGCCCAGATCTTCTGCAGAGCAGAGCTCGGCCCAAATGACGGTCAACTCTCTGCCAGAGCGATCTCGGACACCTAATTGTGTGCCGCTTCCTCCACCAGCAAGTACTTGATAGCTCGCCTAAAAGATAGGGGGCAGGCACAGCGGGGGGGAGAGAGACTGCGGTGTGGTGCTGGCATCACACGGTGACACGCAGGAGCTACACTGGGGAGTGCAGGGTAACGGGCAGAGCTGTGCCTCTGAAGCTAACGTATCCTCGGTGTCGGCTTCAAGTTTGTATCTATAAAAATAAAAGCTAGGGCTCACCAGCCCAGCACCCCCCCCCCCCCCCGAAATGATCAAGCCTAGCCAGTGTTTGTTAGTGACTCACCCTGCACGTACTGGCTGCACGTTCAGTAAAAAGGCAGGCTGTGCTGTGGCTCTTCGTGGAGTTTCGGAGGTGGCATGCTGAGCTCCCTCAGTGTTGTGCCCCTGGGCAAGCAGCAGACGTGCCGTAGGCTCGCCAATTGTTAGGTTCGACTGCCATCTTCTAGATTTACCTTGGAGATTTGGGGAAGGCAGTGCTTTCTTTAGGAACAGAACCCTAGGAAACAAAGCGGTTTGTAAACCCCTCCTTCTCTCTCTGACTCTCCCAGGTGCATCATTTCTGGCATGGCCTCGGGAAGCATTGTTCTGTTTTACAACAACTTTAACCGGTGGCAACACGAATCCCAAACCCGCTACTGACCGGGACAGCTGCGCGTCAGCCGGGCCCCCAGTCCCGGCGGGGGGTAATCGGGAGCATCTTGCTTAGAAATAGCTATTACATCTGAATGTAACTCAGATTTGCTCTAAGAAGCAAAATATTTTTTAAAGTTAATTGCTATTTTTGTAGACTTTGCTTGACTTTTTGGGGGGAATAGCAAAGCAGAAAATTGGCTGCTGGGTTCTGTAGTTTAAAAAATCTATATTTTTAGTCATAATGAGAAGTCTATTTTCACCAATTATGGAAACATACAGTGGAGCAAGTAAACCCACTTATTCTAGCTATCTTATGAAAAACCACTTCCCTTTATCTGTTATCTTGAGAAATACATGATCTTAACAATAAGGAAATGGGTTATAATACTAGGATAGGGAATTTTATGCTGTACTTTGGGTCCTGTATTTTTCCAAGCAATCGTGCTTCTTCGGCACTGAAATTTCTGGGATTTAAGTAGTAATGTTTAAATTATGGTAAATGTAATTTAAAACATCTCAATGAGTTATTTCGATGAATATTATTGTTCAAGCATGCTTTAGACCTAGAAAATTACGGTTTGGGGGAGGTTCTTATTTTATTGTGTGGTTAACATAAAGGATCTAATGTTATAGCAAGTGTGAAGTATTTACAGTGTTTTATTTACAATGTTTTTCTGATAGGTTGTCTTCATAGCACACCAAAATGAAATGGTGGAAAGGCTCGTGGGCTCACAACCTTTGTTTTTCTCTTAAAGTAAATGCAAGTACCAAAGCTCACCCCTGAGGTTTGACTGTGCCCGGGCACTGAGGCAGAGCCAGCAGCCGGGCTTCCCTCCCCTACCCTGGTCTGAGGACAGAGGCAACACCCATCTGACCTTCTCTTTGTTACTAAATACCTTCACCTTCCTTTGAGTAGCAATTTGTACTAAGAAACATGTTATTTTGGTGTTGTATAATTCTACTTTTCTAGTAGATTGCTGTGTGGAAATCTGTGAAAAATATTTGAGAAAAGGTCTGTATTGCATAAATAAATTCTTTGTAAGTTGTGAACTTCGAGTTGCAACCAGCATTCCATCTCTGTTTCTCTTGCAACTTACCTAAAAGGGTCCCCTCCTATTTTCCAACATTCAGCTCTTCTTTAAAAGCAAAGATTTGGAATGGAACAACTCAGTTTGACAGAAAAATAAAATGGTGTTTGTAATTGAATTTTTCAAAATATCTTTTCACTTCTAATTTAAAACATCAATGAAACAATTCTTTGCAAAGAAAATGTCAAACTCTGGTTTAGTCCCAGATTTTGAACAATAACCAACAAGAGACTCTCTTGAAAACAGGAACATGGGCCTTCTTTGGCCAGACAGCTCCCTCTTACCAACACTTACTCTGATGAGAACACTAGACCTATAGCTAAGATCCACCACTGTTTTATAAACCATTAAGAAAGAAAAAATAGTCAAATGTAAGATAAAAGAAAAACCCAAGTGACTGGTAAATTAATTAAACATCCTCACTGTTGTTACCCTCTGATATTGTACTTCGGAAACTTTAGGGAAAATGGTAGAAGAAAATTTGGAATACCTACATCCTATGCCAAGCATTTGATACTTTCAACTACCCCATTTTTACAGGCTTAAAGTAAAGTGAATAAAGCAGCTTCTTCTTGGAGCCTAAGAAGAAAATTGGTGCCTCCACTGCCTTTATTGGTTTTAAGACTCACAACTATGGAAAATTAACAAAAGCAGAAGTAATATATATTACCGACCTATGTATTACTTACGTATTCCTTTACTCATAAAACAAATACAGCTGGTGTCAACACAAGGGCTTCTTAAGGGCAGAATCTGTTTATCATATTTGTTAGGATTTACTCAACATTCACTCATTTTAACCAGTGTTAGTTACTTAAAAAAAAAAAACCCATTACTTCAAATAAATTTAAACCAATGAGGGGAAAGAAGTCAAAGCTGAGGCAGCCTGGGATGAAAGAAGATGAGCTACGCAGACAGGAACCGTGGCAGCACCCTCAGTAAGTGGCTGTGGTTCGAAGCGTGCTGTGTTCCCTTTACATACAGTAATTTGCGGCTGGTTTTAAAATGCACTGCCTCGAGAAATTCAGATTTTCCTCCCTGATAGTATTGATTCGTACTGAAATGCCACCAATCAAGTCCTTGAGGCTCTGCGATTTAAGCGAGGGCACACTGGATCTCTGGGAGAAAGCAGGCGGGCTTAGCGAATACAGGACATGAAAGCTTGACAAGCACAGATACACACTGATGGATGGTTCCCTCTCATATGAGAATCTTCCTCCCCAGAGTACACCAAACATCCATAAATAAATACCCTAACACATTAATTCAATAAGAGGGAACAATTTTTGCCCCCTGAAACATTTCGTTCTACTGATCAGCCTACAGGACAAGAAGATTCACAGTGACCTGCACGGGAACCCTAAGAAGCTGCATGTAGGATAAAAGGTAGCTGGGAACCTGGGCCTGCCCGTTTCTGTTCAGCTCCAACAGCAGAGCAGAGCCCAAGGGCCAGCGACCGGACGGACACAAACACGAACACACACACACACCACATACACACATACACACCCGGAGCCATGTGCCCCACCGCCCCCCATGCTGTCAGATGGCCAGTGGGATAGCAAAGCCGGGGAGGGTCAAGTCTGCAGGAGATGGCCAGGAATCCCCAATACAGCCAGTCAGCACTTCCACTTCGCACCCGTTTCAGCAAACAGAACTGAAATTAAAATAACAGACAAAAAGATCTACCGAAACAGGAATTTTAGGGGAGAGATTTTCACTAGGTATCTGATCGGTTTTTCCTGGACAGGATTTCAAGAGCTGCTGGCCATACAAACCATGGGCCTGGTTTGGTCCTTCCTCCTGCGCTGTCCTGCTCACCCTCCATCACTGCGAAAGAACACAGCACACCAAGGACACAGACTCCTCCTGCATCCACACAGAACGAAGAATCCTACCCCTGAGCTTGGTGGGGAAGCCCAGCCGGTTCCTGGGGTGCATTAGAGATCGTGGAGTAGCAGCCACCCCCCAGCCTCATGTCATCATGTGACATCACATTAGGCCAAAGCCTGTTCACAAACAAGAAACGAGGAGGACATGATGTGAATCTCACAATCTACATAAACTGTGTGTATCAGCCAATACGCCAGTGCCTCTCCTTGGCTGTTTCTGCCCTGCTACTGGGGAAAGGGTTTTCTACTTCAGCGAGGACAGCAACCAGCCTAACTACTCCCCTTTTTCGTAGCATAAGGAAGCTGGGAAGTAAAAACTTCCTACACTGTAAAACAGAAGGAAAACACCATAAAATAGCAAATCAATAACAAAGTACAAAAATATTAACATGGTAAATTTTCTTTTGCCTCTTCTATTTCCTTTCAGATATGTGGGAAAAACATCTTTTCTATTTTCAGATATGAATCAAATCTATACATAGATTTGAAGAGTTGAGTCCATGATGCACCTTTTGGGTCCCCCAAAGTCATAAGATCACTATTTAAAAACCCAAGCCTATTACTAGTGACACTGACACATCACTCCCAAACCTCCCTGCTGAACCAAAAATGCAGATTGCTCAAACCAAGGGACATCACGTTTTTCTAATGAAAGTGAGTGTGGTTTGGCCTTTAGGCAAGCTGTCTTCCAAAGACAGCCAGGCTCTCCAGCAAGGGAAGAAGGCAATGCACAAATGTTCCTATGAATTCTGAGACCTCAGCAGTCATATGCCAGAAACATGAAGTGAATTACTTTCCTGTCTCAAGTTCAGGAATATTTTTCCTTGCCAAAACCAAAGGTTGGGGGCCGGGGGGGCTAGGCTGGCTGTTATTTCCTCATACCTGGCAGGAAGCAACTGGCTGCTTTGCAGCTTTGAACTTGGACAACTTGAAAGACATTCACCAGACCCAACTTCATCCTCCGCAAGGACAGGCGCCCAACCCTCAGCCCACTGGGTTGAAACCATCCTGACCACACTGCCCCAAATGATGGGGGTTTAGGAAAGGGTGGGGCAGAAGCAAAAGGCTGTCTGTGTACCAGATACACCCTTTCCTTCCCCTCAGCTGTTCAGTGAGGGCAGCGCCTTCCCACAGCTAACTGCCTTTGAGTTCAAGGCTGCAGGCTTCATCATAAGTTGGCCCCCTTCTAATCCACTGGCCAAGACTAAGCTAAGATGCACACAACAGCTTCCTTCTGGAGAAACTACTCTCTTCATCTAACAACCCCCCCCCAGGCCCCGCCCCACAGCCCCCGTAACCTCTCAGGTCCCAATCCCCAGTTTTCTACCACTTTGTCAGGTGTCTCCACCATCCCATCCCCCCTCTGCCTGTGACACAGACGTCCCATCTAAAACATCTCTGACCACCTAGAGGACAGCCTACTTATAAGGAGAGACTCCCTGGGAACCAGGAGGAGCAAATCCCAGCTCCAGTATGTCTGGATGAGCTCCTGATCCTTCTGAGTTTTCTCGTTTACGGAATGTGGACATTAATGGCTCAAATGATACAGGATGAAGTACTCTGTAAACTGTAAACTTCTGCGGTGGTTATTCTTCAGCAGCTAAGCATTTCCAAAGACTAGACTGTCACTCCTTCAGAAAGCAGCTAATTCAGTCACTGGGCTGCCCTTTGATTAGAGTCTCAGACTCCGCACGCACATCTGACCCTTCGTGCCTCCTACCTACTAACCTCAGACCCCCATCCAGAGTAAGTTGAATAAGATGAGTCTACACCTGCTACTATGGAACAGGTCTTTATACAGCCAAAGACATCTAGCGGATGTGCCTCTCGTTTCCCCTAGTGCTTACGGTGTCTCCCACTAGTCCTTGGCTGCCCGGGCTGCG